ATCAAATAATTTATAACTTGACCAAGACCACTTTTCACACCGAGCAGGGGGGGGGGTGCAATCTGGTCTTGGAAGAGTTATGCGCCGTTTAATGTGCCTCGGGTGGAAACATATTTTAAATGTCAATTGTAGCATATGGGGATTTCTAGCTTTTGAAACATTATTCGAAATATGCGTAAGGTGGCAATGGCAAAGAAATGGATTCAAGGTGCATCTGACACTGCAAGTGTTCGAAACCATTAATCCGTAGTTTCTTTAAAAAGGTTGAACTAGTAGGGGGACGAGAAGCTATAAAATGTGTTCTCGGAGTAGCTGTGCGTTATGAATGAAGAACTAAAAGTACTGAAGGGTATACACTCTTTAATCATAATGGGCTTGTTAAATACTGCTTAAATTAAATTTATATAGAAACTAGTTTTTATGTATCAAATGTTTATTTTACTACTCGTTTGATTTGGCAACTTCTCAGTAAACACACAGTGTTTGGAGTGTCAGCTCTTAAGTTGCAACCTACCTACTTTCAAGCAAGTTTATATATGAAGCCATATGAGCAAATGTTGAATCCTGCGTCTAGCTGCAAAATTCACTTACTGGCAACCATGAAGTAGACGATGTCGTCAATTGCAACAGTAGAATTTTCTCTGCCTGATTCCATGATTATCACAATCTAAATACGCGAAAAAAATGTAACATTATTACATTGAATTACAAATGAAATAATACGATATGAAATTTAAGTTTTTTAAATCCAGGAATGGAACCTTTGTTTAGTGCACACATCAGAAACTGAAATGGGAGTTTACTTGGCGGTAAAGTTGGACTGTTTCGGTGATCAGTGTTTCCGTAGTTTTCAGCTGGCTTATCAAAAAGTAGTATGATTGACCTTACCTCAAATGAAGTATAACTTGCCGGAATGAGGAGCTTTGCTGACTGCCATCGATTATCTTTAATCTCGTAGACGCTGGAGTCCCATTTGCAGTGAATGGGGTTAGAAAATCCGGAGGGCTGGCGCGTACACACCTTCAGTAATGCCAGCACGCTGCTGCGCCAGTATGAAAATGTGATCATGCTTGGTTGGTTAATCCTGCAAAGACGTTAATAATTGAGGATTAAAATAAAATCATCGTGCATGCCGAGGTATTTCTTCACTAACCAACCAAGAGGTCGATCCGGGTTTGAAACCATTTGCGTACGCATAGATGTCATCTGGAAGTAAACTAGAATGCTAGCTTTCGAAACAGGCAATCAAAGTCAGGTGCTTGCTTTTCTCCAAACCAAAAGTTACTAAAAAAGGCGCATGTTCTGTACATTCCATGAATAACGTGTGCTTCAGATGCTGATCGACTTTCCTTTCCGGTTCCCGGGAACATTTCTGATCTGAAATATAAATTTTAAAAACTGTATTTATTCTGCAAACTTAAGCAGCATTTCCTTACTGGTTTTTACGTAAGATGTATGCGGAATGTCCGCAGGGTTCAGCGATATTGCTGTAGCCAACGACCACTGACCGTCGTCCTCAAGGCCGCTTGTTCCATTAAGCCAATGGCAAACATGGTCAAAACGACAATTCAGTTCGCTTGGATCTGTAACTAAACAGTTCCCTCCTTTCCCTGAACTGAAATCAAGATTAACGAATCAGGCACGGAGTGGTTTCACTTACAGTCAGTCGTGAACCATAGAAAAGAAATGAACACGAAGGTCATTCTCCCCTTCTTTGAGCATGCAACGCACTACCAACGTAAAAATGACATCTTAACGGCACGGCGGAAGTGTGCGAAGGTCAAGAGGTCAGATAGGTTTCGGTGACCGCTGTAGATCGATTACACAGTTGCACTTAGATATTAAGAGTTACCGTCCAAACTGGTTGTTGAATTCGTTTTCAAGCAAGATAACTAGTGTTGCAAAAGCAAATACACTAATGCAGCTTCAATTTAGTTCAAGTTTTTGCTTTGACAGCTAAAATCTACCTGTCCTTCAGCTACAAATCCGGAAAGTATATATAATTGTACTATTTATAAACCGACACGATTATACGGAAATACATTCAGGAGAGATTCCGCCCAATAGTTCCTGAATATCTCTGAGTCCGGATGTTGCCAGGCACAAGTGAGCTCTTGATCTTTTCACTTTTGGCGAACACTGAGTAAAGCTCGCTGTGCGTTGCTTGTAGCTGTGACAGGCAATTTGCCAGCGCATCATGTGGAGGGTGGTACGAATCATCGAAGATCTTGGCTAAGGATGGTGTGGCGTTGTCTAGGTTGGTCACGATGGCTGCTTTGATAGAAAGTCTGACTCAGCGAGGAAGGACATCGTAGTCATTAGCTATGGGTGCTCCAAAAAATGTCTGAGCAGCATACGTTACTATAGAAGCCATGCAGGAGCGCGACAATTGCCGTGAAGCCAAGTCCGCGCTCTCGAATGGCATAACCTTGGCCGTAGAATCATGTCTTTCGCACTTGGAGACCGTGTGCTACAAATAGTCCAACCTCAATAAGCAGTCTTTAAAGTGTAACTGGAGATCGAAGGACGACTTCCTGTTCTTCCATATGAACTCGCCAGCCGTTCAGGACTTCGAGCCTTGAAGCACGAAAAAAAACCTGTATGGAAGTAAAATGGAATATTGTATCTTTTATATGCCGTCTCTTTGCTAAACCACAAAGAAGTAAATCGGATATGAACGCAAAATCTTTAGACAATTTAGAATAGGCTTAGTAGAGAACCGGTCATACCAGAGTTGTTGCCGACTATGTTTCAGATATTTTGTCAGAGGTCGGTTTCAGTCATCTCGTCGTTCTTCAAAAATTTAATGGCAGTACGACAGCATGAAAGAAGTACATGTAAGCAACAGAAAACTAATGAAATGCGACAATTGTCTAGGCATAGGGTAGGCAGACGAACGTAATTCTAGAATCCAACGCGGCGTGTTTGAAGAGAGTGTTTGTCAGAGACTAACAAACAGCATCGCAACCGGATCAACCGGTTGATGCAGTTGGCTGTAAAGGCTAGTGAGTCTGACTGCCATCAGTCAGCGTGAGGGATACGTTTCTTGGAGAAGGAGAAGATGTCCAGCGATGCGAAGCCTCGAAGCCGAAGTGAAACCGCAGCTCCGGAAGAACCACAACAGGAGAACATTTTGTCCATGGAAGATCTGTGCTTGTTAGACGACGATCAA